TAATATATATATTAAATTATAATTTATAAATTTTATTTTGATATAAAATAAAAATTATTTCTTAATAAAATTATAAAGTTTAATATAATAGAAAAATGTTAATTTTTATTATGTTTATTGATAAATTAACTCTCTAATTTCATAATTATGAATGCTACTGTAAATAATCTAATAAAAAAAATTGTAAAAATTTATTTATTATTATATAATATTAATTTAATTCTAAACTTAATTAAAATATTAAAGTATAAATAATTTATAAATTAATAAAAAATTATTAATTTTAAATTTTTATTAGTTTATTAATATAATATAAATTAAGATAAAATTAAGTAATTATAATAATAACTATTAAAAATAATCTATATTACTTATTTTATTTAATTTATATTATTTTTAATAAATAATAAAATAATCAATTAATTTTGATTAGTAGAATTTAAAAATAAGTTATATATTATTAATTTTTATTGATTAAAAATCTTTTATCAAATTTCTCAATTTTATTTGATAATAATTATAATCAAACAAATTTTTCTCAATTTTATTGACTAATAATTATAACAAATCATATTTAGCATATAAATCATGTGATTATAAACAAAACTTTATTTAAATATTAAGCTATGATTGAAATTCTAATTTTATAATTATGAAGAAAATTGCATTTTTGTATTAATTGATGCTTTATTATATTAATTTTTTATGCATGTATCTTAAAAATTATATATCCCGACGCTCATTAAATATCAGATCACCAGAAATCTGAACCGATTCGAAATCGGTTCTGGTGGGTTGAACCCGATCCGGTTATGTCTTGCCCGAACCCGAGTTTTTGGACCGGTCATTTAAATTATCAGATCACCCGAAATCTGACCCGATCCGAAATCGGTTCGGGTTTGGGTTGAACCCGAACCGAGTTTTTGGACCGGATCGGATTTTTATCAAACTCGATCCGAACCGACCCGTACGGAGCTTTACTATTAGCAATTTTTAAAACTTCAAGAAGCTACGATTTCAGACTATGTGAAGATAAATTATTGATAAGATTAATATCATATTAGAGATTATTGTTGATTCATAATTAAGATAGATGAAATAATTCGTTATATGAAATAATCCAATATAAAAGCCAATAAAAGATAACACACATTATAGAGCGTAGAATATATTTTTGGTATCTTGAGCAAAATTGTTCTTCAAGAATATACTTGTTCGGTACGTACCTACTACAAAGTTTAATGTAATTTGGTCGTACGCTTTCAATTAGAATTAACTCTGTAAATTTAAACATGGTTAAAAGTTGATTTTTTGAAATGATTAATCGGGATTAACTTTTATTATGCATAACGATAAATACATGTATAGTAACCAAAAATGTTTCCTATGAATGTTGCGCTAAATTTTATTGAGACTGACTCAGTATCAATTACCATTTTAAACATATAAAATTGGGACGAAATATAAATGACAAGCTCTAACTCTTTATACCACTAAATCGTGAATTTCCCTTATTTATTTTCTAAGCCACCGCATATATGTTGTTGTAGGATATCAGCTAACTTAAAAACTCTTTTGCATGTCAATTACAATCATGTTTCAGTTTTTTGTTTGAGAAAATTTCAACGTATCTTTTCTCATGAATTCTTTTAAATATTTATATATCCTATACAAAATTTACAGGGTTTTTCCTGTAATCTGTTACAATTGCAGGTGGTTACAGGTTTTTGGCATACATCAAAAGAGTTTTTGGTAGGCCACCACATGTACTTTCTAATACAAGTTTTTCATTTTCAGGTCAAGAGGGACTTTAGTTATTGAAAAATCTAAAAAATGTCAAAAGTGTGTTGCCACCTGTAATTAGTAATGGATTACAGAGTTTTACAGGTGCCTGTAACCACTTCACCGTAATGACCTGCAAAAATTATCGTTATAGATGGTTATGAAGTTTACAGATCAAAATTCTCATAGGGAGCTCAATTATAATTCAAACAATATGAAATGCATCTGTTCCAATAAAAAATAAAGTTCAGTTTTATTAAATTTTTATATTAAAGTTAAGGAAACAAATACATAATATATATCCGACATATGCACAGTTATTTATAATGACAAAAAAAGAAAATAATACAATAAATATAAATTTATCATTTCATCTTCATGCATACAACATGAATTTTATTCCCTACAAATACAAATACGTATCTTAAATATCAGTTTATTTTAACATTTCCTTTGAGTATCATCACTAATTTGTTACATTTTGAACTAAATAATTTCTTGCTAAATTCCCTGAATTTCTTCTATCATTTTGATCAATAACTATGGATAATTCACCACATCTCCAAAATACGTAATTACATAAAATTTCATGTCAAGTTTCGGATGTCTTCGATTTTTGTAAACAATGTATTTTTGATATTTTAAGCAGTCAAATGGCCCTCTGTATTAGAAGATATTCAATAATCAGCAAAAGATTCGGTTTAAATTCAAGAATCATTCTCAGTAAATTGACTAATTAGAAAACATTAAAAGAGATTGTTTTTTAAGAGGTCGGATCTCAAAAGATATATATAGCGACTTTCGATAAAAAAAAACTTTGTATGGAGATAAGGCATTAACTCCAACCATTTCTCGAAATTATTTGTACAAGAAAATAAACACGTATGTTAAATTCAAAAACATTGTGTAGATGCTTCACAACGAAGATTATGCTTGTGCACTGTTGTAATATTAACGGTTGTCATTGAAAAAGCAAAATCTGATATTTTGAGCAATTATGGCGATTTCAAAGTGGTATATTATTTTTAGAATGAATGCTGAAAGAAACCAAGAAGACGCTGCCATTGTTCATTTTGGCCTCTTACTCCAGCTCTGATCGGAATTTATCCACGCAAAAATGTGCATATAAAATTTTGCAAAGAATCTCGCAGTTACGCCAAATTATTTTTCTCATGATGTGCGTTCATTTATTAGCCTTTGGAAGCAATTTCTCACTAAAACGATAAAAAAGTTAATTAATATCTTTATGTACAAATTTATTTACAGAATTAAACTAAAATTTTTCATCCCCACTAATAATGAATCATTCGGAATTGTGTATCTCCCTTATTCAGCTAATTTTCTTTTTGTTTATCGTTACACGATAAACAATAATTTAATTTCACCATCCAGTAACGGTAATACAAATACAAATATGAAACAGAACACAATTTGTTTATTTTTCGCATTTAAATTATATTATTGTATATATTAGTGTATAGTATAAATTTTAAGTTAATATTATTTATATTAGTATTAGGAAAACACCACTAGCAAACAGTAATAGTAACGTTAATGCAATATTAATAACATGCATGTTTGGTTGTATTTGTACACTAGAATTTTGTTGAATAGGGATTCCAGTCTGAACGGTAAATGCCGAACTTTGTGTTGGTGTGTCTAGTCCTGTTGTTATGGTGACTATGCTAATTGATGAAGTGGACGTGGAAGTTGTCGTCGTAGTGTCATTTGGTGTTGCTGTAACGATTACGGTGGTGGTTCCATCTGTTGGTGAACTGCCACCAGATTCTAATTTGAGAACAAAGAAAACCTTGTGAGCATAACATGATCCAAGAAGTTAATTTCAAATATCAAAAAAACAAAAAATTTGACGCATACTTGTAATAGTAAATGATGCTGATGGATTGTATGTGACAACCGGTGTCTTTCCATCCAAAATAGTGAATCGCGTTGACCAACTAACTCCAGAACCGGCTTTAGCTGAATCCGAAAACATGATAAAATAAATTTTTCCTGCGGGATATCCTAGAGAAGACAATGACGGCACCGTCCATGATACCGAAGTTGTATTGGTACTAAGTCCTGTTGCGATATCTGCCAAAGGAACTTGTGATAAATCTCCTCCGGTCATCAATTGTACGTTAATTCCCGACATGTCTGATATTAATGGAGACACTTTGTTTTCTGTCCATGCAATTGTAACTTGATCCCCAGAATTCCATACCGTTCCACCGTCTGGCGGACCTGGGGCCGGTGATGCGTCTATTCTTATCGTCAAAGCTATGAGTAGCAGCAATGTAGTGAAGATGTGAGCGTATGATTTATCGAAATACATTTTGTTATTTATTGATGTGCGTTTTTTTTATTCAGATTGATTTTGATTTTTGTGTAGATAACAACAGCTTATCGTTAAAATTTAAGGAAGAAAGCAAATTTTTTGAGACAAAAAGTTCCGTTAATATACAATAAAAACGTCTAAATACTACCTGAAAAATAGTTTGATCTCTTTAAGTACTTTTTCCGCGATATCCGCAGAATGCGTAATTTAAATAAATGAAAAGCGTATTAAACACTTATGCATACACATATAATATGCCTTTTTTTTTTGCGTCACAAAGTACATGTACATGTACTTTGTTCGCCACGGCTTATGCACTGACTTATTCGACTATATTGTCACGAATGTCCGCTTTATTATCTCAAATATTTGTTTATACATGTAATACGCATGAATTTAATTGTTTAGACAATCCCCACGTTACAAAATTATGATGTGCATAATATCTATATCGATATCTGATATTATACACAATACATGCGCGTGCATGTACTTATCTTTCTTTATTGGCAATCACATTTCAAAAAAAAAATCGCCGAATAATGATACCTAATGAAGCCAAATAATCGTGTTACGTCCACGGAAGAGGGATTTACGACCAAAAAATATACATATAGTAAGAATATGATACGTGTATGCGGCTCATTATATTACATAGTATGAAACGTGCGATGATAATCATGCCAATTTTTCTGCGATGTAAATTGTGAAGGTAACAATTTGATCGTTGCAACTAGCACAAGATTTTATTGCGTAACTCCTTTTCTGATTGCATGTCAGAGTATGCTGTATCTTGTTTAGCGTCAATGATTGACCTAAATTTATAATTTAAAAAGCACAAAATCAAGCATTTTTACTAGGGGAAGGTTGTCAAACCGAGCACAGGACGAATTGCGCAATTAAATCATTGCAGTTAAAAAAAAAGCGCTTGAACGTTGAAGCACAAACACACATTCTTTGATGCTACATAGAATCGCAAATTCTACTATCCATAATGAACTTCTTTGAAAACAATTTGTAATTTTAGTTTACTATATTGAAAAAAAGATTTCATTTGATCATATCAATCAACATACTACAGAATTCGAAACGCGCTTCAAACATTAAAGGGATTTATGATCATCTAGAATTAAAGCAATTTAATCATCTAGAATTAAAGCAATTTACAGTATGCGCAAAATATGTTAATAATTGAAAATTCGCATTATGGTGAGGCCCAATCCTGCTTACTCTTCGGGTGAATGACGAGATCATTCACGTATTGATATACCGCGTTATTTCAGTGTGCCAAATAATTCAATATCAACAATATTTTTTTAGACTAGTGAGGAATCCAAAATCCAAAATTCTTTAACGTTAACGGTGAATTCAATGATTAGTGTTCATTTGGTTAGCCTTTTACGCCATTATCAACTATTGTTATACGTAGTAATGTTTCAAGTGGTGCACATTTTGGTTTCACATGTTTCGCCATTTCTGCAACGATAATTAAAATTTACTTGTGATATGGAATAATTTTCGGACTTATATTCTTATATTCCGACGGTAATTTTTAGCCATAGGAACTTTATCTCAACAAAATTTAAAATTATCCCATTGTTAGTTAGACATACATGTTATGCTAAAATTAGTCGACATGCAATGGGAATACCAAAATTAGACTTTTCATTATCCCTATTAATCAAATAATTTTATTGAGTGTTAGATTTTTGAGACTTTGTTTAACTTTTTTAATGGGTTTCTTTGTATGCATATATTTTTTACGAATTGTTGTTATGTGCTGCGATCTCATTACAAAATTCTACGTGGACTTTTCTTTTTTTGTTTTTATTAATGTTAAGTATTAAATCATAAAATTTTTTGTGTTGTCTTTACCAGAAAATAAAATAAGGTAGATAAGCTCCTTTTTTTTTTAATTAATGTATGAGCTCGTATTATTCGACGACCATGTATGCAATTATTTTGTATCGTCCCTGCATTACCTTTGTTTAATTTCCTAAAATTGCTTGATAAAGATGAACCATGAATCATTTCATTCGTTTGATCTTGAGAAACAAAAAGGCAATATATCGCTTTTATTAAACCTTATTACAATCGAATGCAAAATCATCTATTGTTGATTATTAATCACAACCGTTCGTTCAATCAACATATTAAGTATGGAAAATTTTTTAAAGAATTTGGGCTGAACTGGAGGGCTTTGGGGATTATTAAAAATTTGAAAAGTATTAAAAATTCTAAAATTTTTGCACAGTAATACTGTGCCGCCAACTTTAAATAATATTTATCCAAACAAATATCCTCCGGAAATAAGCTCATTCACAACTATAATTTGCAACAACAACATTAGGATTTGTAATTTCTATCGTAAATGTGTGGCATTTCGACACATGTTAGTGTTCTTTATTTACATGAAATTTCATCATTTTTACTGTAACTATAATTTCTGCTTCATCCTTCTTTTTTCATAATACTCGACTTCGCCAGCTTCATTTTCATTTTCATATTCACCCGTTACAATCAAGGTTCTTACTTTTCTTAGATTGGATTTAAAGTAATACTGGGTTTAAAAAAATAAAGGAATATACTTATATTGTATTTCCTAAACGCTAAATCTATGAAAAATCATCGTGTTTTGAAATATTATTCTCATTAATAATCTATCATTTAAATTTTTCTTCATATTTCGTTGTAAATTCATCTGTATATCGAGATACTAAAACATTACCATCATTCTCTTTTAATTCTTTTACTTTACTTTTAGTGATGAATTGTCCGAGCCTAACGTCATGTTCTTGGATGCGAATATCTAGGCTTGAATTGTTAATAGCCCTCCAAATAATCTCCAAATGAGCATCTGAGAAACATTTTGAAAAGATAAAAGGATAACAAGTCGAAATGAACTTGTTCGGAGACATGCAAAAATCTTTCTAAACTGTCTTCCTTGAAATTCCAATCGGCATACACGCACAGGATTTTCAATGATTTTGGTAATCTTTTCCCAAGCTCCGTTAACAATATAGCTTTCGACTCTGCGGAACAATGGCTTCATGCACTCAATCTCTAAGCGTTTTAAATTTTTGAAGGATTTGACATGAGGCAATAAATGGAGAATCTCTAAATGTTGGTTGTAATTCTCGTATGATATTTTGAGACTTGAGAGATTGGGACAAATCTTCGTCGCGGACTCAAGAGTTCTTCCATTCGTACTAGATATACACAATTCATATAAACGTCTAAGGGAATCTCGGCATTTGGCCCTTCAAAAATATTCCATCATCGTAAGGAAAGTTATGCATGTAACAATCAAGTTCTAGAAAAGTATTTTCCGTGGTGTCGAGCAGATTACAGCACAAATTTATCACTAGGTATCAATCGATTCGGACAAGCTGAATGTAATTCCTTGTACGTATAATCCTTCCCGCACCCAGTTTGCCATTGATATTGTAGGATGCGTAAAGAAATTTGTTTGATCAACAAGTTGTATTGGAATGCTATTCCTTTCTGAAATTCTCAGGCCTAGCACAGTTATGATCCTTATTTTCCCTATTGAATTCTTGTCTTCATCAAAACAATCGAGTAGAGTTGAAATTTAGTGATCCGGCAGTTCTTGCTAGAAAATCTGACAGAACTGGTCTTCTCCATAATATCAGGAATTGCATTAACACACCAATGACGATTCACGAGTGCACATTGAAAGAGATGTAGTTTGTTGTGCGTCTCAATGTGTCAAAAAATATTCTCGAGACACAATTCGGTGAGCCGCTGACGCCATTATTTATGTTTGTTGGCTGTTTTAAATGAGAATTTTTTTGTTTTTGTTTAACGTTTGCGAGAAAAGAATTTAAGAATTCAAAGATACAAAGGGCCGTTCTCATTTGTTTTATTAATAATTTTACGGGTACAAATACATGTGTATGCATTTTGTTACCCCAATGACGTAAAATGTACATATTGTATAAGTCTAAGTTAAGTTAAATTTTTAATTGTGGAACTTACACAGAAATGGTTAGTACATGCGTATATACATATAATCAAGGAAAACAACAACGATCCTTTTAATATACGTATAAAGTATTAACATAAATATAAAGGTTTTTTATACTACAAAAACTACAAATTCAAATATTGCAAAATTTGCTTTAATATAAGCAAATATTAAAATAAGCCATTATTAAATTGTAAACAAATTATTATTATCGTCTCATAGATTACATCCAATCTCCATCGCTAAATAGACTGTATCGTTTGCTCGCTTCAGCATATGGCGAACCAAAGCGATGATTCAGTTACCTTAAAATATTGGGAATCAAATTTACTAAGCAAAAGACAAAAAGATGAGCTATTGTTCGATTGAGAAACTAAATGTTATATGATTAATATGTAAACATAAACATCATGTCAGTTATTGTTACAATATACTGTGCTTATAACTGCGAATGCAGAAATCACAAACTTAAAACGCGTTACGAACAACCAAAATAAGCAATATTCACATTTAGGCATACGTAAAATGAAAAGCTTACAATGTACCATAAATTAGATGTATTTTGAACTTCTATTAAATTTTGAATCAGATTCTTCTTGATATAAGAAAATTCATCATCGATATATGGACATATAGTCTATATAAGATGGCAATTTATTGGTAAATATTATATCAAAAGTTGTCAGTGCCCTTGTGTCAGTTAATGCTGATTTAGACTACGAAATAAAAAGAACAAAACTTTAAGGGAAGCCATAATTTATGTTAAATGGGCAAATAAGTTTTTACTAAATTCCCTTCCACAA